ATCCACACTGTACACTGCAGATACTGAGGTCAATGTTACTGGGTATTCCACACTGTAATGTGTGATTACTGAAATCTTTACTGAAGTCGTCACATTCAGTTAAAAGTAATACTCATAGTGGTGAGGTGATTTTATCTATTGGAGAGATATTGTCTGTCTCTCTGCAGGCTGATGGGCTGTAGAGTCACAGAAGAAGGCTGTTCTTTGCTGGCTTCAGCTCTGAGGTCAAACTCCTCTCAGCTGACAGAGCTGGACCTGAGTGACAATGACCTGCAGGATTCAGGGGTGAAGCTGCTCTTTGCTGGACTGGGGGATTCACACTGTAAACTGGAGACACTGAGGTCAATATTACTGGGTATTCCACACTGTAATCTGTAACTATTGTAATCTTAATTGGAGTCATCATATTTACTTAAAAGTAATACTCATAGTGGTGAGGTGTTTTTATCTATTGGAGAAATATTGTCTGTCTCTCTGCAGGCTGTCAGGCTGTAGAGTCACAGAAGAAGGCTGTTCTTCCCTGGCTTCAGCTCTGAAGTCAAACCCCTCTCACCTGAGAGAGCTGGACCTGAGTGACAATAACCTGCAGGATTCAGGGGTGAAGCTGCTCTTTGCTGGATTGCGGGATTCACACTGTAAACTGGAGACACTGAGGTCAATATTACTGGGTATTCCACACTGTAATCTGTAATTATTGAAATCTTAATCGGAGTCGTCACATTTACTAAAAAGCAATGTTTCTAGTGCTGAGGTGTTTTTATTTATTTGAGAGTTTTTGTCTGTCTCTCTGCAGGCTGTCAGGCTGTAGAGTCACAGAGAGAGGCTGTTCTTCCCTGGTTTCAGCAATGAGGTTAAACTCCTCACACCTGAGAGAGCTGGACCTGAGTGACAATGACCTGCAGGACTTAGGGGTGAAGCTGCTCTCTGCTGGGCTGCGGGATTCACACTGTAAACTGGAGACACTGAGGTCAGTACTACTGATTAATCTACAGTATTAACTGTAATTACTGAAATCTTTATTTAAGTCGCCACATTTACTTAAAAGTAATACTCATAGTCGTGAGGTGTTTTTATCTATTGGAGAGATATTGTCTGTGTCTCTGCAGGCTGTCAGGCTGTAGAGTCACAGAAGAAGGCTGTTCTTCCCTGGCTTCAGCTCTGAGGTCAAACTCCTCACACCTGAGAGAGCTGGACCTGAGTGACAATGACCTGCAGGATTCAGGGGTGAAGCTGCTCTCTGCTGGACTGGGGGATTCACACTGTAAACTGGAGAAATTGAGGTCAATATTACTGGGTATTCCACACTGTAATCTGTAATTATTGAAATCTTTATTGAACTCATATGTACTAAATAGCAATGCTTCTCATGGTGAGGTGTTTTTATTTATTTGAGAGATATTGTCTGTCTCTCTGCAGGGTGTCTATCTGTAGAGTCACAGAGAGAGGTTGTTCTTCCCTGGCTTCTGCTCTGAGGTCAAACCCCTCACACCTGAGAGAGCTGGACCTGAGCTACAATCACCCAGGAGACTCAGGAGTGAAGCTGCTCTCTGCTCTACTGGAGGATCCCAGCTGTAAACTGGAGAAACTGAAGTGAGTATAGAATGTGTGTCAACCGCTGCTATCTGGAGAAAATACAACAATTAAATAAATGGATACAGCAGTACTATGTCATTCTGCTTCTGCTATAGTGTGGATCACAGTGGAGAGTGCAGGACCTGCCCAGGGATCCAGAAATGTAAGTTTATTTGCATGTTTTTATCCTTAATACCATTATTACAACTTTATTATACCATTCACATAATTATTGTGTGTGTGTGAGCGGGTTTACTTTTAATGTCTCCATAACGTGATAAATATCCGTTTTTTTTCCCTTATGGGGACCGGTTTCCTGGTCCCCATAAGGGAAAACTCTATTTTATAAAAATCGGTGACTGCTATGAAAAAACTAAAAATGCAAAAACTATTGTATTTTGTTTGGTTACTTATGGTTATGGTTAGGGCAGGGTGGGGGTAAGGTTGTCATAGTTAGCGTTAGCATTTTCCCCATTGAAATGAATGAGCGGTCCCCATAAGGATATGTTTACCCTACATGTGTGTGTGTGTGTGTTTGTGTGTGTGTGTGTGTGTGTCCGTTTAAAAAGGGGCTGGCTTGAGTTTAAAGAAAAATAGTCTGGGAACTTCTATAGAAATACATAAAACCTCTTTTTGAGATTAGTTAGCTATCACATCTCAGAACAAACATGGCTGCCTCCATGAACTCGCTGCTGTGTGTTGTTGCTTTATATTTTAGCAGATTTGGAGTGAGATTATTTTTTCCAAGAGACAAACAAACAAGAAACACAAACTAGTCAAACCACATTAAAAGCTTTGTAAAATATTTTAGTACATTCATAGTGTCACGCTGGGGCTCAGGCGAGCCGGAAAGCAGGTGACTGGAGCCGTAAATACGGACAAACAGGGTTTTAATTGAGACGGAGGGTAACCAGGCAGGAACATTCACAGACACTACAATGACAGATCTGGGGTACACTGACTTAGACACGGACTAAATACAAGAGACAGGCTAAGGGTAACGAATCACAGGTGAGAACACTCAGGGCGAAACAGGAGGTAATGAGGTGGGCGTGGCACACATTGGGAGCGGACGGAGCGGGGCGTGACACATAGCGATATTCTTTTTTCGAGAGGCAAACAAACTACAAACAAACCAAAGACACTAACAAGTCTGGTAAAAATCTGATATTGCATGATAGGATAGTGTTTACGGTCATGATACGGTATTCTCTAAATCGAACACGTGCAGTTACATTTATAGGTATTAATACATTTAACAAAATAAACATTTTTAAAGATTTATAAAATAGAATTACTGTTGCGTGTGTAAGCCGCCATGTTAAAATTACATCACAGGAGCAACTCGGACAACAAAATCTTGTCCGACATCAACGTCATAAAAGAGGCGTGTTTCCGACGGGAAGTGACATTTTTCGTGACGTTTTCATCCGAGTTCCGACTTAGAGAGAAATAATCGAAAGCACCATAAGGTACCCCCGGTATACTGAACACACTGTGATGATGACAATTTGTACATGATAGTCTAATACATAGATATTTTTGCAGGCTACAATACTGTTTTGATTGACCTGCTACCCGCCCGTGTGTAACGAATTACCCGCCCGTAAAATTCCAGAACATTAAAATCCGCCCGTTTCAGCAACTATCTGCGGGTACCCGACCCGGTGCAGGACTCTGACCTGTACACCGTCAACACGTATGGAGGTATTATTGGTGCAAAACACCTGAGCATCTGTAATAGTGCAATCTGTAGCTGTAGAAAAGAGTCACATTTGTCAGTAAATTTGAAGTCATGGGATTTCCACAAACACAACACAACGGTTACGCCTCTCACAAATTACAGGTGTACAAATTCTATTCTACACATCACAAACTAAGAAACTGATGCCTTGTCCACACGTACACGAGTATTTTTTAAAACGTACCTTTTTCTATACGTCTTGGGCTTTTGTCCACACGTAAACGGCGTCTTAGGTCACTAAGCTTTTGCAAAACTCCATCCAGGGTGAAGATTTTAAGAAACTTTGGGTCGAAACGTCAGATTATGCGCCGTTGTCCACTTTGTTTAACGTGAGAGCATGCGCTGTTTGCTGTATACATTAGTGGTGTGCGATACTACAAGATTTGGTATCGATCAGATACCAAGTAAATATAGGGCAAGTATCGCCGATATGATACCGATATCGATACTTTTTAATAATTAAGGTGGATGCATCATTAAATTGCTAAAGCTGAATTAATTTTCATTACCATTACATGTTTTTGTGATTTTTTTTTAATTAATTGGTTAAAACCCATGCCAGAATTTGGGTAAAGTTTATGAGTAAATAAATACTATAGCACGGAGGTACCGGCGGGCAGCGCCACATGTTAGACTGATGTCAGCTTGTGAATTGTTCTCAGTAATTAATCGCTTGTGTGATTATAAATGTGCTGTGTATAGCGGTTAATGTTTATTGCTGTACGTAGTGTATGTGCTTGTATGCATGCACCCACCGTGTGTATGAGGAGTAAACGGGGCAATGAGCACGGTGCGCAGTGTGAGTGTGTGTGATTGCAGTGGTGATTAAACCCCGAACTGTCTTTGCTGTTTAATTATTGTGAGCATGGCTCAGCAACCCACTATTACAATACTTTATTATAAATATTATATTATGTGTGTGTGCGCACACGCGTGCAGGTGAGCTTGTCTGCTTGCCTGGCGCCGCTGAGTCATGTGACAGTCGGGAGCGGCAACAGAGAGCAGCCGCGCGAACACAGACAGCCGCAGTGCATCCAGGAGAGAAACTGAAGTATCGATCTCATTAAACTGGTATTGATCAATATCAATACCAACATTATTATCGATACTTGGATCGATCCGCCCACCACTAGTATACATTAGGCGAGTTTGAGCAATGGCGGACTTAGCCGAAATAGTGCTTGTGCTAACCTTGCTGACAGGACTTCATACATGTGTACAGATGAATATTGAGTCACTCTCGCATTATATTGATCAACACAGGCGTCGGAATGTGCGCCATGGTTTTCAACTTAACAGGACTGGCAACTAGGCTTCTGATTGGCTAACATGGCAGTACGGTTAGAGTTATAATGCCGCCTGTTGGTTTGGCATGCTCTTGACAGCACATTTTAGAAGTTTCATGTGGATGGAAATATTTTAGAAGATAATGTTCGTGTGGACAGGGATTTTCTTTAAACGGAGGAGGAAAAACACCGTTTTAAAAAATACCCGTGTACGTGTGGACAAGGTACACTTGCCGCAGTAAATATGGTGCAAAACACATTCGCACACCCGTAATCCAAAAATGAAACTTGTACATATTTTTTCCTCTCCTACAAGCACAACACAATGGTTACCCCTTCTCAAATTCTTCATTACAAGTGCACAAATCCTATTCCATGCATCACAAATTAAGAAACTCAAACGCTCACAGTTTTGCTACACTTGCTGCAGTAAATATGGTGCAAAACACATTCCCACACCCGTGATCCAAAAATATGAACTTATATGGACAAAAGTGACACATTGGCATATTAGTTTATGAATTCGTACAATGGGAGCTGCATGCATACACGTAGAACATTTTCTCACAACTATATTTTGCTTGGACATTTTTCTAGCGGAAACACAAGTCAGTAATTACAACTGCTCGAATCAGCCGCTACGGGTCTCAAGTACAATTCTCTCGCATGCTCTCACTTTCGCTCCAAATATCTCAGCGAAATGTACGAATTACTTTTGCACCACATTTCACTGTCCATAAGTTCACATTTTTGGATTACAGGTGTGCGAATGTGTTTTGCACCATATTTACTGCGGCAAGTGTAGCAATACTGTGAGCATCTGAGTTTCTTAATTTGTGATGTGTAGAATAGGATTTGTACACCTGTAATGAAGAATTTGTGAAGGCGTAACCATTGTGTTGTGTTTGTGGAAATCCGGTGACTTCAAATTTACTGATACACATGTGTGACTCTTTTCTACAGCTACAGATTGCACTGTTACAGATGCTCAGGTGTTTGGCACCAATAAAACCTCCATAAGCACGCGCACCCCCACCCCTCCCCCCTTTTAACCTGATGATATGAACCTTGTCTGACTGGTCGCGTGACCGGTCACACGCCATTAACACAAACTTCAGTCACAGTCAGAGCAGCGTGGAGCGCTGAGCCGCGGAGCCGTTTTGCTTTATAAAAATGTCTCTCGGTCAGGAGCCGGATCTTTTGAACGGCTCGTTCGCCACCGACACATCACTAGTCGGCGTTGAACGCTGCTGGAGGGAGGTATGTGTCCGAAGTGGTTTGAAGCAAGTTCTTATTTTGAAGTAAAGATACAATTTTTAGTGGGAAAACTTTTACTGGCACTCTTTGGGGTACAATTTCATGTTTAACATGTTTGATGAATGCTGTTTATAATTTTATTTACCTGTAATTAAGCCTGTTAGTTTAGCACGCGCAGCATTTCGGCGCGTCTTCCGGCCCTTGTTACGCGGCCGTCCGACATTTCCTGAGGTATTTCACATACTTGAATTCCTGCATTGTTAGGGGATGCTGTGCTGTTTTTATACTTTATGTATCATACAGAATAATAGAGCGCAGGCTAAAGTGCAGTTCGGTCCCCAGCGAGTCTCTCAGCGCGGCGTGTCTCACAGCGCAGGGGGCAGCCGGAGCGCCGCAGACTCGGGCGGCTACATGAGTATATTGGGAATAAAATGTGTGTATTGGAGCGAGTTCTGTGTTAGTGAGTGTGTGAGGTGTGACAGTGATAATGATGGAGATGCTGGGCTTCGCGATGGGATTAATCGCTCTTCCTCTCGCCTACAGACTCCTGCCAGCTGACGCTGGACCCCAACACAGCAAACAGACTCCTGTCTCTGTCAGAGGGGAACTGGAAGGTGACACGGGGGGCAAAGCAGCAGCCATATCCTAATCATCCAGAGAGATTTGACTGCTGCAGCCAAGTTATGTGCAGGGAGAGTCTGACTGGTCGCTGTTACTGGGAGGCTGAGTGGAGTGGAGTTGCCTGGATAGGAGTGACTTATAAAGGAATCAGGAGGAAAGGATTTAGTGCTGAATGTCGGCTGGGATTCAGTGACAAGTCATGGAGTCTGTACTGCTCTCCTCGCCATTACTCTGTCTGGCACAATAATAAACAGACTGACATACCCATAAAGCCCTCAGGCTCCCGCAGAGTAGGAGTGTATCTGGACTGGGCGGTTGGTACTCTGTCCTTCTACAGAGTCTCCTCTGATGGACTGACCCTCCTGTACAGCTTCACCTCCTCTTTCACTGAACCCCTCTATCCAGGGTTTTGTGTTCATGATGACTCCTCCGTGTCCCTGTGCATGCCGGGATAGCTCACTGTGTGCTGGAGGAATCATTTTTACCTTATCAGAGTGTCACATGTCACTGCTTCTCCGTGGCAAAAAGGTAAAATCTCTGCTTTTTAACCAGTGTAACCCTTTTTACTCTGTCTGAAGTGTGATGTATGTCAGATAAAAATAAATTACTAGGTTCATCAAGCTGAACAAACATGTAAAATAATTATTTGTTTCTGATTAAAATGTAATGAAATGTAATCCTGGTGATTTGGGGGAGGTTTTCCCCTCGCCTTGTATGTACATTTTATACATTTCTGTCTATATATTGTATTTGCTACTTGTACATTGACAATAAAAGCTTCCTAATGTATCCCATTACTGTCCTGGTTCAGTGCTGCTCAAAGCATAACTGAGGTAACTGAGTAACATAAATCATGTAATACAACCCCAATTCCAAAAAACTTGGGGTGTTGTGCAAATTGTAAATAACAACAGACTGCAATGATATAAAAATCTCATGAACTCATTTTATTTATAACAGAACATATAAAACATATGTTTAAAATGAGACATTTTGCTATTTCATGAAAATTATTGCCTCCTTTTGAATTCAATGACAGAAACACGTCTCAAAAAAGTTGGGACTGGGGCAATAAGAGGCTGGAAAAGTTAGTGGTACAAAAACCCAACACTGGAGGAACAATTTGCAAATAATTAGGTCAATTGGCAACAGGTCAGTAACATGATTAGGTATAAAAAGAGCATCTTTGAGTTGCAGTGTCTCTCAGAAGTAAAGATGGACAGAGGATTACCAATCCCCCTAATACCACGGTGACAAATAGTGGAGCAATTTCAGGAAAAAACGTTCCTCATTCCTGATCTTCATTCCAGCCTGATCTCCTCAGTCCCCAGATGTTTACAGACTGTTGTTAAAAGAAGAGGTGATCCCACACAGTGGTAAACATGGCCTTGTCCCAACTTTTTTGAGGCGTTTTGCTGCCAAGACATTCAAAATTACCTTATCTTTTCCTTAAAATGATACATTTCCTCAGTTTAAACATTTTATGTGTTTTCTATGTTTTGTTATGAATAAAACATGGGTTTATGAGATTTCCATATCATTGCATTGTTTTCCTTTACAATTTGCACAATATCCCAACTTTTTTGGAATTGGGGTTGTACAATTAAATAAATGTACTTTAATGTAAATAAACATAACTAACACAGACTAAATCAGCATATACACTCACCTAAAGGATTATTAGGAACACCATACTAATACGGTGTTTGACCCCCTTTCGCCTTCAGAACTGCCTTAATTCTACGTGGCATTGATTCAACAA